CAGATTTGTTTGAGGTATTAACAACTAATATTTTTCTGCTCAAGTTTGTGTGATTTTTTTTTTCAATATCACTTTCCTCGATATTTCCCATACCTCCGAACAGTAATTTAGCATTGATGTTACTTATGAATCTAGGGGCGTCCGTGGCCGAGTGGTTTTCTTTCATGTGCGGAAGCTATCCAGCTAGCTTACAGAACGCCGGTGGTTCTACTCAGGTGCCCGTTCGTGCCTGAAATAATGAGGTCTTCAACCACCAGTAAGACGTAAAAACCCAAAACAAACAAACTTATGAATCAAATAATTTACATTTTTCACTAGTTTTGTAGTCATATTAATGAAGAATAGGAAACAGTCTATACAGTGCTTTTGATGCATATTCTGCTAATCTTGTTGTGTTCGCGACCAATTTCAATTTTTAAAGAGGTTCATGTATATTCCCAAATATTTCAACGATGTAACTATTTCAAGCTTTTCGCCATAAAGATGGAAAGTAAATTTTTTAGGTCTGCTCCTTTCGAAAATCATAACTTTAATTGGTTTTATCATAAACATCATAAATAAAAGTGAAGAACTAGGGTTTCCCTGCTTAACGCCCTGATGAAAGTTTATAACAGATTTAACAAATATGAGAAGACGCTGTATGTTTGAAGTTGTCATACATATTATATGACAAATAAAATTGGTCAGCCAAAGTATTGATGTGAAATGTAATGATTTTTTCACCAAAAAATATCATGTGGAAATACACTTAGGTGAGAGAAAAATAAGTGGGAAATATGTGATATATCGATTTCTAGTCAAAACACATGACGATTCACACTGATGGAAAAAAAATTATATCTGAAATTTTTACAATTCACACTGATGGAAAAGAAAATATACCTGAAATTTGTTGTATCAGCTTAATCATTGCAAATGCATGAGCCATTTTATCATGCAACTGCTATGGTAAATGTCCGATAACACTTAATAATTGCCTGATAATTATTTTTGATATCAGGTTAGTAACCTGATATCAAAAATAAGTCCCGCCCATTTCAACGGACTTGTTTCAATAGCATATATATTCTTTTTTGTCAGTCTTTAAATTCTACAATTTTATCTCATACCCTGACAAGTCTCGAATCAGGATGTGATCTTTAAGTAAAAGTTAACGCATGTCTTTGAGATTTTTCTTTGTTCTTTCCAACCCATCATACTCAGTACACTTCCATTTAGGATTTGAAAACTGTATTGATATATAGCAGTAAAGTTTTTTTTCACTTGATTCACATAGGAAAAAAACTCAATTGATATATAGCAGTTGCTTTTTTTCCGCACCTGCTCTATATCGGTTGAGTTTTTTTACGGACATTCACAGGGGACAAAGGGTCAAAGGGGGCATGGGGTAACACATTCAAAATAAAAAAAACAACACAAAACAACAACAACAAAACACAAAATAACAAGAGCAGGTTGAAACGGGTGATGCTTACCAAACAGGTTTTGGACACAGAGAAACTACTTCTTGTTGATATCTCTTGTAGTTTCAGTGTTATGTCCCGGACAAAGTTGTCAGTGTAAAAATGAACAAAGGGCAATAACTCCAAAATTAGACAAGGCAGAGTAACGTTTCTTTTGCAAAGCAAATCTTCTCAATGAGATCAATCTACCTACAAAGTTTCTCGTTGATACCTCTTTTTTCAGAGTTATGTCCCTGACGAAGTTCAGTGTAAATATTAACTAAGGACAATAACTCCAAAATTTGACATGACATAGTTGCAGTTCTTTTAAATTGCACATTTACTGAATCAGATATATCTATCTACAAAGTTTCTTGTTTACATCGCCTATAGTTTCAGTGTTATGTCCTTGACAAATATCACAGAAGTGCAAGACAGAGTTACGGTTCTTTTGCACTGCACATCTACCCAAAGAGATCTATCTACCTACAAAATTTCTTTATATATCTTAATAGTTATATTCCTTAAAAAAAAAACAACAAAAAAAAACAGCAAAACAACTTTAAGCGGCTGCGCTAAACTGACTTATTATATAGAGCCAGCTGTGAGGTCCCGCTGGTATTGGTTCATTTTATCTGGGGTTTCAAGAGGACACAAAAGAGGGAAATGCACATAGTAAGTTTTTAATGATTTATGTAACAAAAAAATAATATATGAAACTCGTTATAACAGTGGCTGGGGCGACATCTCTCGATGTTTTTGCAAAAAGAATCGTCTCGACCTGACGGCCTCGACATTTTTTTTGCAGAAACATCCGTTGATGTCGCCCCAACCACTGTTATACCCCCTAAACTATTTCATTTCATATACTATAACTATTACATGTTTCATCTCTGTATCACTAATAATTACAATCATTTGCCTAGTTAAAAGTGTACTGTCATCCGTTAATAAGTACTGAATAAAACCACAAGCAAACCCCAAGGTGCATAAGTACACACGCTGACCAACATTCTTGTAAACTTTCAGGCCTACAAGTTAAATACTTTTTGAGCTATGCATGAACAAGTTGAAAATTGCAAATTTATACTACTTTAAGTCAAGGGCAATAACTCTAACAAAACTGAAAAACATCCACATGCAAAGTCCCAGGTGCATAGCTTCACAGTGATGTGAATCATTATTCCTGTTATTTAGTGATGTTGATCATTATTCCTGTGAAGTTGGTTGATTCAAGCACTCAAGGAACAAATAACACAACATAATGAAACGGATTTTACTAAGTCAAGGGCAATAACTCTACAAATACTGGATAAATCCACAAGCGAATCCCAAGGTGCACAACTACATATGCTGAGCAACATTCCTGTAAGTTTTCATGACTCTATGTCAAATTCTTTTTGAGTTACATGCGACACAAGTTGAAATTTGCAAAAAAAAATTTCTAAATCAAGGGGAATAACTCTAAAAATACTAAATAAATTCACACGAAAATACCCAGGTGCACAACAACACATGCTGATCAACATTCCTGTGAAGTTCCATGACTCTTTATCAAATCCCTTTTGAGTTACATGTGACACAAGTTGAAAATTGGAAAATTTTACTAAGTCAAGGGCAATAACTCTAAAAATACTATATAAATCCACATGAAAATACTCAGGTGCATAACTGCACTTGCTGATCAACATTTCTGTTAAGTTTCATGACTCTAGGTCAATTTCTTTTTTGAGTTACGTGCGACACAAAAGAGAACGGACGGACGGAAGGAAGAACGGACGGACAAGGGTAAATCTAAATATCTAAATGCCCCCCCCCCACACCCATAGGGGCACACAAATATCGGCCGAATAAAGTTATTAACGATTATTTGTTTATTTTATGTTAAATGCTTTAAAATTTAGATCACGTATACACATATTTTTAATAAAAAAGAATTCCACAAGTAAAAGAGTTTCAGGTCAATATTTTTGAATTTACTTTTACATGATTTTCCAAATTTTAAAACATGTTTAAAAATTTAAATACTTAACAGAACACCGGTAATATACATGTATGAGCATATCGAGTAATCACTTCAACAATTGAAAATAACTTCTTAAAGCGGCCTTTACCTTTTATTTTATTTTTTTTGTTGGAAAAAACAATTATGCGCCGTTTCAAATTAAGTATTTCAGTATTTTTACCTTGGAGAAGTACATCATATGACTGCTGAGCTTTTCCCGAAAGCTATTTGTAGCACGCCAGTGACGTATCTTTCTAAAAATAGAATACTAGTATCAGGACTCGAATCGACCGTTTAAAAAGACCACTGGATTAGGTATCTATGGTTTTCTGATTGTTTACATATTATATCCAAAGTAAATTTCGTTTTCTATCTTAATTTTTTTGATTTGACAATGATATGGAACGGTTTATTTAAAAAACAACATAAAAATTGAAGGCCGCTTTAATGCATTTGCGAACAGGCTCGCTTTTCTTCGGCGTTTTCTTCAATACATCTTGTTCAAAAACATAATGATAATAAAATAGTAAATAGAAAAAAATAGACGATTGTAGAGAATATACATAATACACGGTGCTAAACCACGTGACATGCTATAATCTGCATTCGACAGAAAACCAATTAAAATACGGGCTATGTAATATTTCTTCCATAATTTTAATATTTCATTTTGTTTAATGGGATACAGTGCAAAACCGTCTATTCAATAAAAAAGGAGAGATATTAAAGAAAATAAAAATAAAATAAATAAGGACGAAAATACAATATGGCCCGCCCTACAGAGATATAACAAATATTCACATGGTTTAGGTACAGTGGTTATAGCACCACCAATATTGTAGTATAAGTGGTTATTATTGGCATAAATTGTTTGCTTTGCATTTTTATAAAAATATATTTTTCGTTTAACATTTAACGTTCTCCAAATGATTCTTTTCATTGCCAAATCTTAAAATTCCAGCAAAGAAGTGTGGTATGGAGGTTGGTACAGTGCGAATGGCAAAGACATTGGCAGTTACTCATAATAACATAATTCAAACTAATACAACACAATTTTTGTCTTCTTCTGCCTTATCTAAATATCAACCATTCTGTCCCGAGCTGTTTCATGTAATTGGTCCACAAAACTCTTTGTCACTTCTTCAAGTCACTATATCCTTAAGATCAACAGGTTCGGATCGTTCTGTTTCTGTGTCGTATGCCTCGTTAGAGCTATCATTAAACTCAGCTCCAGGGTTATCATACGAGTGGTACCCGTGGCCACTTATATCTTTAGAACTAGCCACACTAACTTCCTGAATGGTATTCGTACCATTTTGTCTCAGACCATTATTAACAATAACGTCTTCAGGACCAAATCCTGCAGCTTCCGCGTCCGTTATCGGTCCTTTTATATCATTGTCATCTTTGCGGTATGCTTTACGTGCCAATAGAGCGAGTAGAAATGTTTCTAACACCAGAACACCATGATGAATATCTATAATTAGAATAACATTTTTTTCAAGTGCTTCAGATTCAGTCAGACACATAGCAGTTTAACAAAAATGATTATATATTCTTTTAAAATTGTTCTGCTGCAGTGACTTACATTGTTTAATGCAAAACTTATTTCATTATTATGATTTAGTATTGTAATTAATTTGTTACAATATTTCCATATATCTGACACTGACGAAGTAACATCCTTTCCAGTACAAATTTTATTAACTGGTATGATAGAATCACGTGACAATAACAGAAATCAGAGTAAGAACGTAACTTTATCTCATCATATAAGAATTTAAACGTTCAAAACCACAAAGAGAAAAAAAAGGAAAGAAAACAAACTTACAGCTACCCCTGACCTTTGGTCCTCTTGTTCCAATACATGCAGGAAGATCAAATATGGCAAGAATACCAAATATAATGCTTTGCATATTTGATATAATGAGTAACAATTTGAAGGACATATATTTTAAAGCCAGATCAAATTGTTTCAGGTGGAGTTTGGAAGCTCTGAAGATCACCATGGTTCCATACATAGAGAACATTGTGCTGATGACCGTTACTATGGTGATAAAGAGATAACTAGTTGAACCATCCTGTCAAAAGATGAAACGTATTAAATTAATTAAGGAACTTTTAAAGATTACTTTCAACACAATAAATCTTAAACAAAATATAGTGCACTGAGAAAAGTGTGTTTCATCCATCAGGGCCAATGACTACTTGAAACTGTTACTTATGCTTGAGCTATATTAGTTTTTAGTTTTTCAATTTCTATGTAAGTACACCAGTTAGAGAAACACTTTTAAATTCATAAACAGTTTAATACCACCAGTGGCATAGCTTTCTATGGGCTGACAGAACAAAAGTCGAATTCATTTTTCATTTTGCTACCTGCATTTCCTAAAAAGCTCCCCTAAGAATGTTAATTGTACTAAATATATGCCAAAACACATATCTATCAATCTAAAGCTAAAAGAACTTCTTTTGCCATAAAACCCTCTAGAATTCGGTTTACAGAAGCTATGCTCCTGATTGCATATCTAGTTTTATTGAATGCATGTACATGTACTTATAAATGAAATATTGTTAAAATAAAATGCGTACTTTCATTTTCCGTATTTTATTTATTTTTCACTGCAGTGAAGTATATTTACCGTATTTTTACTGATGTTTACGGACTACTGCCTTCTAAATCCAGCCAATACACAAAAATTAAAAATGAATTCTTACTAATCATAAGCATAAGGTTAAAAAGAGAAAAAATAGATAATAAACAGAAATTCAAGTTTTTTTTCTCTATCAACACAGCATTTTTTTCCATCTTGTGGTACCAAATTATCATATTTCACTCCTAGCTAATGCCACTCGTGAAATATTTATTTTCATACCACTCGATGAAAATAAATCCTGTATTTATATATTTATATATATATATATTGCGTCTCTCCTAGTTATAAAGGAAGTCTCGTATGACAAACTCCTACCGCCATATTATTATTCTATATTTTCGGGTTGTCTTGTGTACTTACAAGTCCTTTCGTATACTTGCCGTCTGTCCAGAGTACGGCTGCTATAAATAGTAACAGTGGTCTTACTACCGACACTTGCAATGAACACAGTTTGAAAAACAGAAGACCACTCCTGAAAAAAAAATTATGAAAAATTGTGCATCGTGCAGTAAAAGGTTATTTGTACTAGCATTCTAACATTTTTATTTATCTTATTATATTAAATGTTTGGTAACTTGATTAAACTATTTGCTATGGTGACTACTTTCTGGTATGTCGTATTTTCGCTCCGCGGGGCGCGATAGGCGGAAACCCGAAAATACGACAAAGTCACCTATTTTTCGTAAATACGCTCCGCGGGAGCCAATGCGAAAACACGCATGTCATGCACTTCGAGTCAAAAGTTGCAACTGGCATTATTGAATCAGTTTGAAAAGGTGGTGGTGGTGTTGGTAGTTTTCACTCCGGATCACGGCAGTTAGCCACAGTGAATTCACAAGAGCACAGTTCAACCATCGCATCGTTCCTGGAGTTTACCAGTACCAGTTGCTTTCACTTTCGCAAGGAACTGAAACCTCTGTACCTACCAGAGCAAATTCAGTACTAATTAGCGTAGAAACGATTTTATGATCAATCACAACGAAATTGACAATCACAATCCAACGCTCTACCTCTAAGTGATCATGAGCTAATCGGACGGCTTTAAAAACAGCAAAGAGATGACTGACATACTTGGTAAGTTTAGCTGGTTTGAGGATACAACAACAGCAGCAACAACAAGGTGGTGTACTCCTCTGTATCTTGTCATTAGCGAGTATCTCCAACATCTTCTCTTCTCCGCCGAAATAATTTATAGACAGGGTGACAAACGTGTAGAAACAAACAGACAAATAACTGCAAAAACAAACCAATCATATTGCCGGTATTCAATATTCGATGTTATAGTTCATAATATATTTTTTTAAAGCGGCCTTCAGCTTTTTTAAAGGTTAATTATGTTATTTTTAGAAATATTAATTCATATGATATCAATTTAAAATAATACATATATAATACATAAACAATAAGGAAGCCCCTCGATACATCTAACCTACCGGTACACGCTCTAAAGTTAAATTACTATAGCGGAAACCATTGCTTAACAACGACCGGGTGGTTAATGTCCTTGACTCCTTATCACTTCCTCCTCACTACATGTGTATTTTAGTTCAAATCCTGCGAAAAACTTTTCTGCTTTTTATAGAGAAAGCTATCCACTAAAACAAGAAATAGTGTACGTATGGTTCCTAAAATAAACCATTTAGAAGTCAACTTCCCTGGCCTGTCTGGTCTTATGGCCCAATGCACTAGAAGCACACACGGTGTGCAATTCAAGCTCAGCTCTAGTGCACTAGAAGTGCTCAAGTCTGGGAAGTTTAGTATGAACTCAACTGTAGTAAATGCATGTGAAGAGTCGCCATGTGAACACATTAGTGTGGGCACCTTTAATCTCAATCAAACATTCGTTTATGCTTGAAATTAGGACTTAATACTCACCATGATGCTACAAGGTCAACTAATATCGTACTTGATGGAACAAGTAGTGCTATCAACGAAGTAATTATTGTTACCTGAAATTACAACGTTTTAAACATTTTGAAATAAACTGATTTTAAATTTATTCTTCAAAATAATCTTTTATGAGGGTTGTTAAATGAAAGTCTTGCGTATTCATATTCCATTAAATCTGAAATATTTTCATAGCTACGGCACTCATAAAAGTTTTCTACCACTTGTGATTTGTAACCAATCATAATTGTTATTTGTTCCCTGCGGTCTGGAGACCGCAGGGTATTGGTACGCGTTTCACTTTTGAGGCATGGAGGAGCACGTGACCTGTTTTCGGTACATGGAGGAGCATGTGATCTGTAAACCGTACATGATTAGTTAATTGACCTTTTCGAAAACCTGGCTAAATACCGTTTGCCAGTACGTTACGGATTTACCTCCAGCTACACCTAATTAAGAACAAAAATCATTACGTGATATTTCTAATTTTTTATTATCATTTTACCGTTTAAGGTGGAAAAACTTGAATGATGTGAAAATTATCAATGTTTCTTTCATATGTATCTCGAATTTTACAAACAATAAATTGTTTATACTGAAAATCTACAAAATTAAAATATTCGTAGTGGCATCTGCCATAATAAATAGAGATATTTTCTGCGTAAACTTGTGTGTTTACTTTATTATTATTATTTTTTTGCTAGGAATAATATCAACGGTCGCCAGTTTCCAAAGACCTTCTTCTATATTGATCGATTATTGTCAACTACATGTATATTCCCGATACAAACGTTTATTTATTCCCCCCCCCCCCACAAAAAAAATATGTTGAAAATAGTTAAATGAAATATCTTTATCTCATAAAAAATGTTCCCCGCAGGAAACCATTTTACTTGTACACGTCTTGTATTGATTTTTTTCACTGTTATAGAGGAAATATTCCGATACACGAATTTGTCTTGTAAAGTCGTTTAAAGTAAATTCTGTATAAATCAAAATCGTGCACGTATACAAAAAGATGGCAGTCCTTTTACTTTTTAACGACCATCATACACTATTATTTATTCTGTGTTATTCAGATGTGGTGTCGTATTTAACACCAAGTATTCTTTCATTTCAAATACCTTTAGTCATAAACAAGTAAAGGAAAACGCTAAAACCAAAATACTCACAGGGTACAGCCCGAGGAGTGTTGCCAGTTTTATCACTTTGACTTCATTCCCGTAATAGTGACGTTGTAGAAACACTAGCTCTTCTATAAAGATTCCGATACACCCAGCAACCAACAGACAACAAATTGCCAGAATAACAATCGTCGCTGCATCGCCGTCAATTTCTAAAATTCGAGTGTGCTACAATGTATTTCACTTTTAACCGTATTTCAATTTGTGCACACGTAAATTTGTTACCACCTGGAAAAAGCGGAGACTCTGGCTCAAAGTGCATCAAAGCCCTGCTTGAGAAAGCACAAATCATGGTAAAATCGTCGCCAAATGTCCTCGCAAGTTATTTTGTAACCACAGCCGTGAGTACCGGAAAAAGCGGGGACTGTGAAATTAAGTACAGCCTACAATTCAAGATTGTTTTAGAAAGCCTTTTAGATAGCCTCGTAATGCCGGTCTTCTTATAACATGTATCTGGTGTTATTTTCCATGACTCTTTAAAGCAGCATGCCTGCCGATTCATGCTAATTTTCATAAAAATTGTAAAAATGTATTTGAAAGTAAAATATTGTGATGTGAACAGCAGCAACAAAAGAAACAACCTCATTCCTTACCTGCGTAGAAGTGATCTGTATCCGGAAATTGGTCGGAACATGGCTCCATTGTTGTTACTACCAAAGTCTCATTTTATGTATATCTATGAAGGAGAACAAAAGAACTTTAATATGTTGTCAAATGACAATAAAAGAAGAAAAATGCTAAAAGAGATCCACTGATCGAGATCCAAAAGTTAAAAGGCTCATTATGCCCAAGAAATGAATATTTCTCTTTTTTTTAAATACACGTTTTTTTTTATTTTTAGTGTACATTCATATTTTTCCAAAAAGTTACTTATTACAATTACCTAAACATTTGCTGCTTTTTGGCAATTAGTATTGATACAGTGTGTTAGTTACAACTAAGCAAAATGGCCAAAATCTCTGTAATGAAATTTCAAATGCAAGGTTCATCTTTCACAAATAAAATCCTCACTGCTTAACAATTCTTACTTTTAACATAAGACACAGTTGATTCTCCTTTGGTGGTCTCTTATACATCTTTATCATATTAAACGGTATATTAATTTGTTATCAAAATGTCATCACTACATATAGTAGATTAAATGAGCCGCGTCACGACAAAACCAACATAATGGGTTTGCGACCAGCATGGATCCAGACCAGCCTGCGCATCTGCGCAGTCTGATCAGGATCCATGCTGTTCGCTATCAGTTTCTCTACTTGTAATAGGGTTTGTAAGCGAAAAGCATGGATCCTGATCAGACTGCGCGGATGCGCAGGCTGGTCTGGATCCATGCTTGTCGCAAACCCATTGTGTTGAATTTGTCGTGACGCGGCTCATATAAGTTAAAAGATGTCTATACTTATATCAATGACCGACCGGACGCTGATTGTAAAAAAAGTGTAAGTCTATCCTCTTTGTTTTGCTAAACTGATTTTAGTATTAATATTAAAGTTAGTATAGAGTAAAGTACTTAAAACTACTGACCCGTGAAACTTTTTTGTAAAGAGCGATGTATTAAAAAAGATAACTGTTAAATAAATTTAACAAAATATCAAATTTCAACACAGTGTCAAATAAAAATGATAAAATGGCGTTCTCTGCCCGTCACCTGGGGTTCCAATTAACATTAAACCAACATAAAATGTATGCTTTATCCGGGACCGCATATTTCTTTACAATCCGACAATTTGACTTTAGGGGATGCTGTAATTCCTACGCATTTCCACCATACCATTTTCCAAAAAACAAATATCAACTGTTGATATCTAAAGAATTTGTGACTATTTGTCGGGGTTTAAGTCAGATCATATATTTGAAAGTCTTAACGGATGTCATTCTGTGCACCTTATATTACTTTCCACATAGGAAAACATTTAAAAACAAACAAATAAATAAATAAATAAATTAAAAAAAAAACAAAACAAAAACAAAAAAACAACAACAACAGTAACCATTAGAATTTAACAATGTAATTATTACCTGTTTACTTGCACTTCTGTTTAAATCTCAAGACTGTAATGCTATTAAATCCTTCCAAAGATGAAAATATGTACTTTTAAGTTTCACCTTGATTATATTCGTTCGTCAGAAATTTATGCTATAACCATTTACAAAATACCCGACATATTCATTACTTTGCATACATTAATTTCTCTATACACATGTATATATACTATCATTATTTATACTCTACATGTAGGTGTATATATAATAGTAAATCTGACCTATAGGTCAACTTAAATCCCAATATTTATATGCTGTATGCAACGTAATAAATACACCTAACAGCAAAATATGCATCTGACCGCTTTATATATACACTGACACGGTTAAGTGATTTTCCAAACGAATTTCAATAAGATTCACATAAAAGAAATGTCACCGTAGTATATTTTTTTTAGATCATTGGTGAAATTTAAAACCATCACAAAATGTTATATAGCTTAAAAATCTCCTCATACGTAAGGTGAAATACCACTTTGGATAAACCTGTACAATAATTGCAATAAATAATTCCTGTCTTACACCGGTGTGAAAAAATGGATGTATGCCATGTTGAAAAAAATATATCAATATGTTATATACCGCGTGTATAAGTTATAACTATACAGCAGCTGTCTGGAGCAGCGTTAGCGAAACATCTGGCAAAATAACTTAAGATCAACATCGTATACTCACAGAAAAGCTAACTAACTTACTTACTAACTAACTAACTAACTAACTAACTAACTAACTAACTAACTAACTAACTAACTAACTAACTAACTAACTTACTTACTAACTAACTAACTAACTAACTAACTAACTAACTAACTAACTAACTAACTAACTAACTAACTAACTAACTCCTAACCTAACCTAACCTAACCTAACCTAACATAACATAACCTAACAATCTGACCTAACAAACTTACCTAACCTAACCTAACCTTAACTAAACTGAATTAAACTAAACTAAACCAACCAACCAATCAGCCAGCCAGCCAGTCAACCAGCTTACTTAAAAGAGATAGATCCTTTCATGACGCCAGCGACATCTATGCATTAGATTTACGTCATAAATATTCAAAATATATGATGTTATTATAAATTTACAATAGATAATCATATGTTTTTTTTTCAGAGTGTTTTTTCCTTATAAGTACTTTCCAAATATCACAAGGCTGAACATGAATGTTTTTATTTTTTATTTTTGGCAGTATTTATTATTGAACAAGTTCATAATAATTCAGATGAATAACGATTGTACTGTTTACAATAATATTTAATAATTCATAAATAAGTGTTAAAATTGTCGTCTGCTTAACAGTCTTACATATAATAAACTCTAATACATTCTACTACATCATATTTTCATACAGAGTTTTTTTTATTTAATCTCACAGTGTTTGTATCTAAAATGTTTTTATCAATTTACTTTTAAACCTATTCCACTGAATCAAAATTTCTTAAACTTGGATTATTTTCTGAAAAATTTCCCGCGCTTCGAGGTTGATCCTTAACCGGGTCCAAGGGAGGGAATCCTGCTTCGACGGCGTTTACAGGTCCTGGTATTTGGGTTTCGTCCCTTCGATAAGCTTTTCGTCCCAAAAACGCAAGGAGGAATGCCTCGAGAACAATGAGTGAATGGTTCATAGCTGAAAAGAGTTGACAAATAAAAAAAATAAATAAAAAAATAAAATAAAAAAATAAAAATAACTTTAATGCATGTCACCAAATTTTAAGTGGAAGCAGTTTTTATTCATAACTTATTTATTACAGTTACAAGCATATCTGACACAATTTTGTCATCAAAATGGAAAAAAATGCACGCTGGTACAGGGGAAAAAGGGTATATTTTGTCATTTATTGCCATAATTTAATTAAAGTAAAGTAAGTGTGTCTTAAATTGACATCCTTTTTTAGTTTGATTTATGTATCAAATGGTATTGCAGGGATGACATTTTGACAACACCCCTGAATAAAATTAATACGGCCATTGCTATCAACACATATTTGCATTGCTGTATTCTAAAGGGGTGCATTAAGCACAGGAAATTCCTATGTGATTTTCGATATTTATAAGAAACCGTTAAAGGCCCATCATGCCTTAAAAATGCTATCATTTTTATTTCACAAAAAAACTTTAAATTTTTGGTATCTTGTAAGTTCCCCCCCCCCCCAAAAAAAAAAAACAAACAAAAAAAAACAACAACAAACTCATTTGCCATACAGTTTAACAATTTTTGCTTCTTTTGCTCTGATCGCAGTTGGTGTAATTATAGTGAATTAGTGTTTTATATGGAAGTCAAATACTTGCTACTTTTACGACACATTACTGCACATTAAACGATAATGTCGTCAGATACTTAGCATCTAGCATGTTCTAAATCCATTAGTAGAACACTTTTAAACACATGTTTAACATTTCTAAAGAATTAAAAAAACTAATTTCTGAAGCATAATGTGCCTTTAAAGAACAACAAAGCTTGTATTTTATGTTCATAACTTAGCGCTTTTTCTCTTAGGGAAACTTTAAAAAAATATTATTGAGAGTTAAACGAATCACTCCTTTGTTTATTCAACAATCTATCGACCACTATTAATAACCTATAGTTAAAAAGTAGGAACGTAATTTCATATAAACCGACACTCAATAATCGTGCAATATATATATCGAAGATTAATGCTATATAAAGGTTAAATATATTGCGTAAGCAAAGAAAAAAGACGTAAGAAATCGTTATTTTTGTTCAATCATTCTATTTCGTCACCTTAGTGCAGTAATGGGTTAAGTCCTTCTAAATCAAATAGGAGTTAACCTTTTTATATTACTAAGGTGACGATTTCCAGCTTTACTGTTGGTGGAATACTTCATGTGACCCTTCGTGTTTTATTTCAGGCACGAGCGGGAACTGGGTATAACCATCGACCTTCTATAACCTAGCTTGATAGCTTCACCGCATGAAAGGTTCCAAAGTCCCTGACGGGTTGCGCGCACACAACGATTAGGGCAAATGATTTTAAAGAAGGCGGCCATAAGTACTCGGCCACGGACGCCCTTTAACAATCTTCTGTACGAGTTGAAGCATAAAATTTCAGAGTATGCATATAAATAATACTATGACATGACGTGTTTACTGCCGCATCAGATGAAAAACGAAAGAAAAAAGTTAGAAATAGGCTTATAAAGATTTAAAAGCCAGAACTATACAAGTTGTTGCCTATGTACAAACTTACCATTCCCCCTAACCTTTGGACCCCGTGTACTAACACACTCCGGGAGATCATAATTGGAGAGAATACTGAAAATAAGTGTCTGAATATTGCCAAGAATAAACAGTGTGTAGAAAGCGGTGAACTTCATCCAGAGTAAATACATTTTGAGATGGTCCCTGGAAGCCCTGTAGATGACCATAGTACCGTATAAGGACAATAACGTCCTGATGGACATTAGTATACTCATGTACGTGTTACTTGAAGCGCTGGTCTGAAAATAATGTTGTAAACAGATTTTAAGCAGGACAGTTTAAAATGTATAACAAATACTGAATCTAGATTTTAAGTTCAAATGTAACGAGTTGTACAGTAATTCAAAGCTTTATATTGCAAAAAAAAATTAACAGGATTTTTAAAGCTGTGGCAGCTTATTTGTGCCATGCCGTATTTTTGCCTAGTTATCACTTTGATGAACTTTCGCCCCGCGAGACGCCGGGCAAAACACGAAATTATGTTTGTCGTATTATTGCGAAAACACAAACATACGATAAAGTGGTTACTTTTCTAATTCAAATTTGTTAATTGTACATCAGTAGCCATTTTCACATAGAATTTGATTATCAAAAATATTTTTTATAATAATAACTTCAACAAAAATAGACATTAGATCTTCTTTCCTAAGGTTTGTCATATATATAGATTTGTTAAACATAATTTAAGATTACAATATTTGTTTCTGTTTACATCTGAAACTACTGTTAATCCGTATTAAGTCCGAGGTTAATATGAATAATAGCCAAGGTGGTCCGATTTGCGGTTTACATGAAATTACGTATACAAGACATATACCATTCCACCGTCATATTTTCCGTCGCTCCAGAGAACCGCAGCAATAAACACCAAAATCGGTTGAACAACGGCAACTTGTAGGGCAAAAAATCTAAATATTCTTAACGGTCTCCTGTAATACATAAAAACAAAACAAAGGGAACCCTCTACATATGAAAAATACTCTCTATATATGCATATAATACATATACAATGTACAAATATGTTTCTTCGTATGTCCTGAAAAATGTGAAATCGTTTAAGTTTTCATCATCTAAGTAAACGTTAAGTTCAAATTTAGTCATCCATTACGTAAGACAACTAGGGCAGTATTTTATATAGAGTCTATCCTTTATTAAAGCTATTCGGAGAAAACATAATTATACAATACGGAAATAAGAATAATGTCTAATATTGCTTGACTTGATTTAAAAAGTTGCCGAAAATGTGTGACAATAGACCCTCGGTAAGGTCATAGACTCATTGACAATGATGCTAAAAATAGAATTGCACGTGCCTTCTCATGTGAATTGGTTTAAGAACGCAACAGCAGCAGCAACAACATGGCGGAGTGTTGATTTGTATTTTGCTTCCAGAAAACACTTCCAGCATTTTACTCTTCCCGCCAAAATAGTCTATTGTTAACTTTACAAACGTGTAGAAACAAAATGAGAGATAGCTGAAAAAAATAACAAAACGGAGAATTGTTTGGCAACTAAATTATGTTTATAGTTTTAATTTAGTTGGACCTGACATAGAACAAGCTTATATCTGGCCACTGCATATCCCGTTTCGCGTATTAGCTGAAACTGTTGCCGTGTGAGGAAACTATAGGTCCTATTAAGGATCGAACCTACGGTCCAGGGTTGAGCATCTCACACTGTCCCCGTCATTCTTTCCCCTTTGCATTTTTAAATTGCTGTATTAAAATGTTATACAAGTTTATATGTAAATGTTGTAAAACTAAAGCAGTATTTGAACATGAAATATTTAATGTTCTGAAATAGCATAGAATGTTTTTATGTAGAACGACTATCTATGTTGAAGGTTGGACTTATTCGCAAACACATTATTGGGCTTCGTTTCATAGAAAGTCTTAAATGTATCCTAAGTCCTGGGACATTTTATTTGAAACGCAAGACTGTCCCAGTTGTGGTTAAGACTTAGAACTTTCTATAAAACGCAACTCAGATGCCGACTTTATAAGAGTTGAATTGGAAGAAATGACAGTTAATTTACCAAGATCCAACAAGATCGAGGAGGACAGAGCTTCTTGGTACTAACATAGATATCACCGATGTTGTAATAATTACCTGAAAAATATATATAGTAAACAATGAAATATTTTATTATAATGACATATGCAATATGTTACAAATAGAAATAATTAGAAGTATTGAAAGCATCCGACACAATGGACCTATAAGTCACAAAAATCCAGATTTCAGGTATTGATCAATGCTATGATTACATAGACAATGGAATTATATATAGTCAGATATAAATCTACATTAAATTTTAAAAGAAATTATGTATGACATATGGGATTTATCATAATTAAAGGCTTGTTTTTTTATATTTTTTTATAAAGCAATGTTTATACATCGTAATTAATGAATATTGAGATGCAATTGGTATGAAAATAACATATAAAAAGGGTCACGTGATATCACTTGTTCCCTCACAGACATCGCGTATTTGGTCAAAGCAATCAGTATTATACGCAATCTCACTTTAGTTAAAGATATAAATACCTGACTGAAATTCCCAAAATGAAAAATCGTAATATGATTATAACATAACATTCATTTATATAAAAGAAAACCTTACCGGAAACACGCCAAGGATTATAACAAATCGTTGTAATTTCACTTCATCATTTGAATAAACTCGGCATAGAAACCTTACTTCTTCCAGGAATATTAAAATGCATAACACCACCAGAATACAGTCGATGGTCAGGAACACAATGGAGGCCACGTCTGATGATAAATCTAAAAACATACACAAATGTTGTTTTTTATGTTGATAATAGAGTATTTTATAAAACCCGTATTCAAAAAGATATCTTGCGGATGCGCGTTCCACTTATGCCAAAGCTACAGTTTCATTTAATATATTACAACGACATTGTCCATGTCATATGGTGTCTTTTCAGCTTTTCTAGATGAAGCTAGTTCTCAAGTGACCCCTACATGAATTTTTTTTTCAGGCATTGCTTACAGCTTGGTGGATTTATCAACCTTCCGTGAATAATCTGGTTAACAGTTTCCAAAGTCATTTGCGAGATTGGCACCGAGAAGAACAGCGCTAAGTCTTGCACATTTATTTCTCACAAAATCATTAAGAACTTTTCTGTAATGAATAAGTGATTACTCAATGATTACAACAAGTATTTCTATAAACGATAGAAACATTTGTACACATGAACGTGGTTTTACAAATTGTAAGTAGTTACTAGCTTTATTTCAAAATAAATTAACATACACATTTGCATTTCATTTTAACTACTTAAATATTGCGTATTTTGTATGTTTTTGTTAACATCTATCATATGCTGCTGTTGATATTTCAAAATTGATAGATACCTGATGATTACAGTTTTTGACATTAACAACAGTTTATCATAGTTTTCTACATCAAACGATTTGCATCAACATTCATGAATAATACACATATTTAACACCAAAAAGTGTATACAATGTAGCAGTTAATATTAGTATCTTTCATACATTGACAAGAGGCGAGTATTCTTAACATATTGTATTGCTCATGTTAAAACATACGAAATAGTCAATTCGGTGTGGTTTTTACATTAATGATCAAGCACAATAAATACAAACACATTTGAAATTCCACCACATTTTATATGCCTAACATATATATTTCTTTTATCAAAGATAAAACTACATTCAAGTTCCGAATATTATACAACAAAAAGTGTTAAGTTGTTAACGATAAAATTACTATACAGTTAACAAAGAAGAAAACATATTTATACAACATATGAGGCTACAAGATATTACAGAAAATGCATGCATCAATTTATATAATTGTTTTAAAATCCAAACATGTGTTTGACTTACCTCCATAAAAATCCTCTGTCTTTGGTAACTCATTGGAGCAATTTTCCATCTTGACCGTTCTGGAATGAACCCTTGTCCTCTTAAAGTCCTCTCAATTACTCTGTGTAAATCTTAAAAAGGGAACTTAAAGCATTGTATCTTATTTTGTCATGAATGTTTTCATTAAAAAACAAACTTGTTGCAGTTGTATGTAAGAACATACGCATATACAAATCACTTCACTAAAGGTTAAAGTGACCTGTGTGCCGTCTTTTTTCCTATAACATTACCTTATTTAACAAAAGAAAAAATGCCGGAAACCAAATCAAGTGCGAAACGTGACCTTTTACATCGTACATTAAAAATATAGAAAAATAAAGTATAAAAGCAGGCGAAAGAAAATATAAGTCTTAGAGTAGTATTTTCATTCTCAACAACTCAAATTTTTCACTGATTTATTTTTTTTGTCGATGCATATACATTTACACAACATGTATATTTTAGAAATTTATTCCGCAATTACTATTATTCATCTCTAGGTAGAAAACTTCGTAGCATGACCTGAAGGTCATCTTTATTTATATATCATCTAGCTTTGGATGTGCGAACTATTTCGTTCAGTTCAGCGACTGTTAATAACATTGTTGTGCTTTAAGGTATACCAGTGGTTTGTATTGAGATAACGTCTACCAGTTATAATTAAAGGTACGGTTGAAATACAGGTTAAACGAAATTTGTGGTCAATACATTTCTTTTGTCGTGACTAAATATATCGATGTTATGGTAAATTTTCACATATACCGGTATTTTGTATATACTTATAAGGATTTTATTATTATCATTATACTATGCCAGTGACCGGACATTATTGTTTCAAGCAAACGTCTACCGAGCTGAAGTAATAATAACGGGTGATCTAAATTCAGATAAAAAAGAACAATAGATGAGATACGTGTATAGTTATAATTACTTAATAAACGGAAATAAAAATAGATTTATAATGTAATGTGACTGACCTTCAAGTTAATTTCCGAGTATGCATAAGTACTGTGGTTTAAAAATAATACACTAGACAAATTCTGTGTCATTATCGGTGATCTTGACACAGATTAAAAAAGCATGAATATAACAATCTTAATCTCAACAGATACTGTCAGTTATTTAACTTATAAAAAGCTTCTTACCAGATGATATATTTAACTCCAAGCTTACTTAGGCAACACATAGTGGCAATGAATATGCTAAAGATGAAATAAACGATCTATCAAAACGTTAGGCATTAACAGTATGGTAGAATGTTTATGTACGAAATAATTAGTGCGCAACGAGAGCATATTATTTCCATATTATTACACGTTTAACCCTGATCATCTGAATGTCACCATTTACTTATCTTAACGTCTTTACAAGTATAAAAAAATATCACAGTGCGCGAAGTTTTGATTGCATACTCTATCCAAAAATAAGGAGTTCGTTCGCTAAAACGTATCGATTTATTTAAAACCATCTGCTCTTAAAGATCAACGGAGTCCGATTCAAGTTCACTTGTGTATTGAATGTGTTCGGATGTCTTCAAATTAATCAAGCGCACAATCTTTTATTTTGATGAAGCTTTTTAAATCACAGGACAGCTTGATTTTGCAACCCTGAACGATTTTATAAATTGCAGACCAATTAGTATTTACTAAAAAAATTTAATTTCAAAACATACCTCCATCTTGTAAATTAGCAGGGATTATTTTTAGTCTATTGGAAGGTCTGATAATTTATTTTCCCTAATTGGAAACACTGATTCACATTGATTGTTTTTATTTTTTTTAAGATTTTTAAATACAGATTACTTATCCTTGATGCATAAGACACAAATGTACGGAAAATGTAATTTAAGACAAAATCAGGACTGAAAAGGAATTGATTCGTACGCCTGTCTATAAAACAAACACATGATGGTTTAATCGAGTTGATCAAGGCCACCTATTGCTAATTAACAATGATCTTTATGAGAAAAACATATTTACTAACGCTTAATGTGGCATAAGGTCAAAGTAAGTTTGTCAGTTTACAATCGACTTCATGCGAATAACCGATGTACTTAGCTACGTTAGATCTTGCGGCGATTTTTGTCAGTTCACAAACAACTAAATGTACATTATGTAATTAATTATAATTTCTACAATGACATCTGATGAAAAAGTTTCAAGACTAATTTTGTTGCCTTCAAAGTTGAAATATGATATAAAATGACACATATTAAGTAAAATAATCATGACAATGTATAATAATCCTAGATGAATTATAAAAGTTCTAAAGCACTTGCATCTTTCAGACAAAATAGATATTTTAATAGAATGAATAGAGCAAAACATAAAAGTTTATTTTCTTCAGGACTTCTCGATAAACTGTCAAAAGACAAATAAATTACATACAACTGATTATTATGATTAAACAAAACTCGAAGATATAAAGATCGGTTAAGTCAATAAAAAACTTTAGTTTAAATGACCCCCCCCCCCAGATTGTCCTTTCTTTGAAGAGTTCTGTCTGCTTTTAAATGTTGTTGACCTGACATGGACACACTGTTTACACTCAAGGTCTCGCTTGTCTTGGACTTGGTTTTGTTTACAAAGTATTGCGGCTACCTCTTAAACGAATGTCAATCTGTTTTTGATTAAGGACCATGATCTTGTTACCAGGCATGTCTAGGGAAATTGATGGAGTTGATAATAAAACTGATATATCGAATAACAGAACGGATCTAAAACGGTGTACTACGGATTGCTAGTTTGGAACTATGCATTTGATAAAATTGTGCAGCAGTAATACGTTTCATATGTAAATGAGTGCACAGATGATTTTGAAACCTTGAAAATACCATCAGCTTTAGTGCATATTAGATATATACTATACGGTATGCTTACACATTACATCTCTTTAAGCAATTAGCCAAACGCATAACAAAAAATTGATGTTTCTATATGCTTATTTATAATGCTTAAGTAGTAAATTAGGTTAATAAACGCCAGTTTTACATATTTTTGCCATTTTATATGTACATCAAAACACACTGAATGTTACAGAACATAATACAGATATGTAATGTCTGTTTGAAAACGTTTTTTTTTTCAAAATTCACAATTTGCTTTTAAAGCAAACTAAAACAAGATAATGCATCTTCTTAGAGTATTTCTTTGTTTAAAACGTAAAGAAAGTTAAACAATGTGGTCCCCGTATTTTTACGATTCAATGTATAAGTGACATGTCAAATAGATGGTTGTGTAATTAACGACATTTTAATTCATCATGAACGGTAGATCTGATTAGCATGTATTGTTTAAAGCGACCGGTCTCGAGATGGGTAAAAAAGGTCTTTAGAAAATTAGGAGCAAAACATATGCATTGTTATAGAAATGATTAAATATTCACTATCCATGTATCATTCATTATTATATTTTAATGTATTATGCAAAACATTACAGATTATGTCATTTTTTAATCGCCGGAATTCTATCAGGTCACTGACTTAGTGATAGAAATGCCTGTATTATTTGACAAGATAAGATACTTTCAGGCTAAATTAATTCACGTATTGAGTACACATTATACAATTTTTACCTGTTGGAACATTTTTACAGTTTTCATTAAAGCATACGAATCTGGAGGCGCGCTGGTTTAAGACAAACATTCAAATCATATCTTCACGTTTATTTGAAACTTGATGAATTTCGCAAAATTATTAGATTCAATTTAATCAGTTCTTAGTTTTTAACATAGGTCAGTTTATCAACATGGATATTTTTTTCACAAATATGAAACTTCCCATTAAAAAGGAACAGGGTGTAAACCTTAATGTTAGACAAACGTTCCGTAGTGTTTTTTTTTTATCAAAAATGCGAAACAACCATTTGAATTTGAAGGAATTGATTCACTACAGTTAAACCTGTTTTAAAGACACTCCTGAATCAAGACTACTATTAAAATAAAAGGCACTGTAAGAAATCCTTCATTGATTTCATATATCAAAGTGACCTCCGAATAAAGACCATAACATATGTTTGGTATCTCCTTTGGATGGCCTTTGTTCCCTTTAATTGTCTGTAATCGTATTTCTGATAGCTTTTAAACCTTTAAAACAATTAATAGTTTAGTTTTTATTTATTGTCTAAATACATTTGGTTAAGTAACGAGGTAAATTTTATCACCGTAAATCATTTACCATTCAGGTCAGGCCATAAACTTAAATGGCAGTTAATTGACTTTAAAGTATTTAAGGTAAAACAAATGTACTGTAATAAATTACAGCTTCAAGCCATTTCTAACAGATCGATGATAACTGACAAGAGAGACCACCCGCAATTGTGCATATTAATGTAAAATTTTGGGGCAAATTTTACGCTGTCCTTGCTACCATTAATGAAATAAATAGAGTTATCCAGTGATCAAAACTATACATGATAAGACAAAATGTGAAAATATTAAAAAGTAGCCTTGAGAGATATTGACATTTAACCTTGGATCTGGAATACCACAAGGTTCATACGTAGTACATACTTTTTCGTTGGAAAATACATCCAAATCTTTATATGTAAAATATCACAATTTGAAATAACTAACTTTCATAAAAGCTCAATAAAAGAATGTGATGATCATTTTGAACTACGAATAGTTTATTAACATAAATTTAAATGAGAAACGCTTGAGAAAGTGACATTATGCACATCTAAGATTAATTGGGGAGTGTACAGTGAAAAGTCAAAAGACTTTAACATTTTTCTACAACTTTGTTCAATTTTATATTTCATAATGCAAAAAAATCATTTTTACGCGTGATCTGCTGTCAGTTTAATGCACGTTTTTTTCGGAATTCGTCGGTAACATTTAATTTTTATAAAGAGTAGGATAATTATTTTCATATTTTTTTATATAAATTTTCAGTCACTCACCATTATGACAATAAATCTGCTGAAATGTATACCTAATTCAACTCAACTTCACAGCAATAAAAAAGAGCATGTATTGTCACTTTAAATGGTAAAGGAACAAAATAATTTGGTCTAAATCTTTATTAATAGAAAAACAATATAAACAGACATGACTATGCGTGAAATGAGACATGTATAGGCAGTGATAGATTCTGCATTCCAGAAACTTGTGAATGAGTTTTGTATTATAATGTTGCAAAGGTTTCGACAATGCAGGACTCCGAACATCGCCGAGCTGATCTTTGTTTTCAAAAACTGGTTTATCCCGGCGGTTTATATCTTGAACTTTTAATTGGAACAGTATGAAAACATGTATGAACATATAACAAATGAAAATATGGCAATCTAAACCATTGACGAGGATACAATGTGTCTGTGATACAATTCATTATCTTTACGATTGATCTGTATCAAAATAGCATTTCTTACTAACAATTTGCCCCTGGCAATCAATTTTTTCTGAGTGTCAAATCTAAATTTCATTTTGTTTTTATGTGATTTCTAACCTTTGTCCTGTCATAAATTAGTTTCGGGACCATTTATATCATTTTCAATTTCACTATAAATTAAGCTGTAAGGCCCGTTTATTTTGCCTTTATTGTGCGTTGGTAATACAACCTGTAAAAGAAAAGAAATAAGTTATTGCCTAATATCTAAAATAACAAATGATTTCACGCCTTATGCTAGCATAAAATATTCACATTATTTTTAATAATTTGATAATGTCTTAAATGGTGTTAAAAGTCTTCAAACGACCCGTTAAAAATAAGATTTAACAAATGTATATGTTGAAGACTTATCATTGACAAATCTTTATGTAATTGGCTTTCATTTAAATATAACCATTTCACAGACTGTAAGACAATTCACACTAACGATTAATTATAGCGATTTAGCTTTATATGCAAAGAAACGTTATATTTAATTACATGGTGATATCGTCGTTGGGGGGTCAAAATCTCGTATAACAGTTTTTGCTACTTTTCAGGAGGAACATTTTTTTGATTTCTTTCTTTCTAAAAGAACCTTCTGTGGAAACAATTCCTGTATAGTGGTAACATGAATAGTACGTTTTAATATATAATTGATTTTTATGAGTTGGTTTGATCAGTTTTGACATATAGAGTGTACGACAATTTGACCTTAAAAAATAGCATATACGACATTTTGACCATAAGGGATAATCAAAGAAGTGCATTTATTTAGAAGTAGAATAACAATATAATATCATTTTCATGAACATTGTTTTATTTTTAACAACTTGAAACCTTGAAGTATTGATATTTAACTTGAACAAATTAAACAGAGTTGGTTAATAAACTGTTAACTTTTGACATAACAATTGAATTAAACATCAACTTTCCTCAGTCTTTTTATGCATTCACACACACACACACACACACACACACACACACACACACACACACACACACGCACATACGCACGCACGCACGCACACGTACGCACGCACACTCGCGACGCGCACACGCACAGACGCACACGCACTCACTCACTCAAATCTTTAAAACTTTGAAATTCAACTTGAACAAATAAAACAAACAAAATTAATTAACTTCATTATTGACTGAAACATCAATCTTTCTCAGTCTTTAAATTCACTATTTATGAATTTAGTACTTTTTACTTCAAATGAATAAAATGGCACTTTCATATTACTGTCAAGAGAAAATTATAGTTTAACTAAGGTCCCATAACGAAACACCTGTATACATTTCGTTTTCATGTTTTTAAGAATCATGTTTCAGGTGGTCATAAAACCCATGATAATCCATTGGAAGAACACTTTTAAGTGCCTGTAAATGGTCGAACTTCGTTTTCTTTATCTTCAAAGGACCACCGTGCAACTTTGGTATTATCTCTGTATGTTTAACATAAGATTTTCTAGATTTTCTTGGAAGTTCCTTAAATGAGTCTCTATAATTCAATTTATAGCGTACAGAACCATCTGCTTCGTAGTGAAGAACTCTAATGTCACTAACCACTGGGTCTCCAACCCTAGTCCCAGGTCTAATTGAAACATAGTAGCCCAACTCCGAGTATGCTTTGAAAAAATCGTAGCCAACGTATTCAACGATATATGGGTTAGAGGGACAGGCTTCCTTGATGAAGTCAACATACTGTTGTGGCACATAAACATTCTTGTTCTTTATTTTCCTCTCCACTACGCTGTGTACTGAATCCACCTCCATTTGAGTATGGCCTTTTTCGAGGATCTTTTGTGTGATTTCAAGGTCAAGAGTCATAGCCAAGTGACATAAAGTGTTTGACATTACCAAGTTCCTATTTTGATAGGTACATCCATCACTATATATAATGATGTGTTTGATTTCTTCATCTTTGGAAATCATTTTTTCAATGTAGTCAGCCAAGCAAGAAGCAAAGGAATTAGCCGAAAGATCCCCCATTCCTTCATGCCAAAAGTAGCAGGTCGCCTGCTTCGTTATAAGGTCATACAAAGTGAAATTATGGCATGCTAATTTGGTTTTATAATACAATGCGCTTGCATTCATTTTTGGCGAAAGTAGAACTGCTTGTACGTCCATTGTAAGAACTTTCACTGAGTGGTTTGTTTGACAAAATAACTTGTCACGGTTTTTCTCCTCTCGTGAATTTATTTTTCTATTCTGATGTTCGTTGTAAATATCAGCGGATATATTACCTGCATCAAACCTACACAGATATCACACTGGTCCTTTTTTGGCACAAATAGACCAATATTTAGGCTCTCGAAAACTTCGGTAAATACTCTACGACTCGCACATACCCTTTCATTACAATGTTTCACGTATTCTTTATACAAGCAGGTCAGAGAGTTAAATACAGGTTCAAGGTAGGTCTTCGAAGTCGATGAACGGCAATAATGAGATTCCATTCTAGGGATGCTTTCAAGAAATTGCTTGACACTCATACGTAGCTGGCCGTGTCTTTCTTCTTGAGCTTTCTTTCTTGTATCTGAAAAAAGAAAGGCATCAAATATCTTTTATAAAGTGCTAACAACACATTTAATATTTCAGTCAATCACTCATTCACTTAAACTGATACTCATTCATATTGTAATTCACTCACTAACACACACACCAACTCACGCACTCTTACGCACGCACGCACTAATTTATTCATTCACACTCCCACAAATTTATTCATTCACTAATTTAAAACTCACTTTTTTATATAGAGAAGAAATTGGGATTTAGAAATTGTATTAAACATTTAAATGGCATGTTACTACCTGACTGCTTCTGCTTTTTCTCAGCTGATCTATCTGGTACACCCGATATTGACTGTTCTATCCATTGATATACTGTCTGCTCCCCTAGTCCAAGAGTTGACAAAAATAGTTGTTTACATACGACAATACGCTCTTCATTAATTCTTAGATGGTATGTGAGGGTTCGAGTTCTTCTACTTGGTTTTCCATTTTCAAGTGTAGGTTCCTCCACTGCTTTAGCATTTATAAGCGAGTTTACATATACACGCCTTTCATCCCATGTTGTCATGTTTGTCCAAAAATTAGTAAATATCTCTCTCCTATCTGCTTCTGTTACGGTTTTGCAATTTTTTATATTAGAGGTTTGGCAGCGTGATGAACACCTTTTTCAGACAACGTCCTTGCGGACTTTTCAACATGGAATCCCCACTTCCCATCCACTTTTTTCATTCCTTTGTATGCATTCCCTGACATACGCAACTGTTTATTACGATGTCTCTGCCTTTCTCCTTTTCCATTTTGTTTATCATTTGCCTTTACAGATTCATTTTCTACGGTTTCTTCATGATCAATATCGTCTTCCGATGGTGACGCGTATTCACCCTCTTCACTAGGATTATATCTGGGTCATTTGCATCTTTGTCATTATTTATATCTTCATATTCTTCATTTTCTCCTAGATCCAAACATGTTTCATTTTCAACATTTGTTGTAATATCTTTTACACTATTTTTGTCTCTATTGTTTCCAATGAAAGAACTTTCACCTATGACAGAATATGCTTGTTGAAAGTATTCGTCAATCTCAGTTTCTTTACCACCAATCGATTCATCATTAACACCTGCTACAACACTGCCATTAAATTCATCCAATATAGTAACATTTGACTCTTGCAATTCAGAGAAATATCTAATTCACTATTTTGATCAGTTGCTGCATTGGAACGATCATCAAACACATTTACACTGTTATCAGCGTTTACAATTCCAACGATCTTTTCAATCTCAATGTCAGTCTCAGCATCTCCACTTTGAACAAATATTTCAAGTTCTATAAAATCTTTATATATTTCAGTGTTTGACACCGGTTCACTGTTATCTAAATTGGCGCATGACTCATTGTTTTCTGTTTTCATTGTTGATTCACTGTTTTCAGCACAGATAATCGAATCAATTTTGTTATAGATAACAGATTCACTGTTTTCTAAAGTAGATATTTGCTCACTATTTCCACCATTTATAACTTGTTCAGTCCTTTCTGTATTAATATCTTGTGCCTTATAACACACAGATTCACTGTCTTCCACACACGTAGACCCGACTTCCATTGATTCATTATTATATTCTGTTTCTGAAAAATTTGGTTTATTACAAATATTTGAAGGTGTCAACTCATTGTAGTTTTTGTTGTTATTATTTATGTCATGGTTAATACTCGTATCAGTCACTTGTTCTTGTTCCATAACCTTTATGAGTTTTAAAAGAGAATTCTGAACCACCATTTTCTTAGCTAACACACGGCTTTCCTTTTGATTGCTTTGAGCAAAAGTTACCATTGTTTTGCCAGTGGTAACATATTTGAAAAATAGTTAATAATTTACAATTTTTATCCCTGGCTCACAGACTGGACAGTGTATCCCACTTTCTTTCAATGTATCTAAATGTGAATAATTTAATGCTTCATCTGGAAATGTTGGATGAATACATAATAGATGAAAATACCGTTCACAGTCAGCGAACTGACATCGAACATAAAACTGCCCATTTCTAAAGAGAAATTAGATAAGGCCAATGTCAACTACTTTTTCAAGAATATGAATTAACTCATTAATATCTGGTACAAACTGACAAATGTGACACTTATATTGTAAATATTCAGTTTCTCCCGTTGACTCGGTATCACTTTCTCCAGAATACTGTGACATTCCGCTTAACCGTATCTGAAAATAAAATTAAATCGCCATTATGATTCTAGATGAATTAAAACACCTATTTTTAAGCTATTTCAAAACATCGTATTTCGATATAAAACGGGAAGAAAATGAAATACCAAATAATCGTATCTCGTAAAATCTCGTATCTTGATTGCTAGTATCTGAAAAATGAAATGACAAATTCTCGTATCTCGAAAAATTACATCAAACGTCAGAAATCGAACAAAAATTATCTTTAGCGAAAAATTAATATCTTTATTTACGTTTAATTATTTCAAACATTAGTAACGATTGAAAGAATTATATACAGATAAGCAATGAAAATTAATGTATTTTCTCTATCAGCCGCAATAGGACACTTCTTTGAACAGATATGACTAAGCATATTTATTAAAACCTTAAAAAGTAGGTAATTTAGAAAGTACAAAAATAGAATCTACTTAACTTACCGATTTGAATGTAAAAAACAATTTATCCAACGTTCTCCGTCAACATATTGTGAAATTTAAAAGATACGAGGTTTTGACAAAAACAACAAAATCATCCAATCGACACACGAGATTTTGTCACGTGACAATTTTCGCCTTTTCCATTGGTGTAGAGCTACACTATTTTGGGAGACGGTGCGCTGGTATGTTTAAATTTTCGCGGCATCAAAAACCCATTTTGCTAAAAAACCGAGTTACGATATTTTGACCCCCCACCGACGAATTATAGTTTTTTGTGAATTTCCGACAGTAATTGCTTGAATTTTCGGCAATCTGATTGTTCTTTGGGTCTTATTTTTATCAAGTCAGGCAAAGATAAAATGGCCACTTCTTTTATAGTTTATGCTCGAACAAGCTAGTATAAATAACATTCAAGTTGTATCAAAAATTAGGCAAAAGACAGACTCGATGGAAACAATGAGACAAAAACAACCATATTACGCCTAATCAAAAGCTCTGATAGGGCAACTATGTAAAAAGTCACCTTACGTCCAAATAAAAAAACATGTTCATGACAGAATGTAGAAAAAAGATTATGAAAACTTATGTCTTACGTCTATATCGTTTGTAGATGTAGCTACGGTATCATATGTGACAGAGTTGCCCAACAATGGACCGGCAGTGACCTTGAGGTTACGGTGTTCAGATCGACGATATACGATGCGTGCAAGAAGCGCCAGAACAAACATCTCCACAATCACGGCCATATGGTTGAAAACTGAAAATTATAAATCTATGTTTATCACAAGTTGTACAATTAACACAAAATGTACTCCGAATTCTAAAAGAGCAAAGGCTTTAAAAATTACCTTAAATGTATCTATAAATAAGTTAATTACTAGTATACTGAAATCATGGTATATGTTACCATTTTACACTAATTAATGCCACTACAAATGCTTCAATAAACGGGAAAGCTTTGGAATCAGAAAAAGTTGTGTCGCTCACTATTACAGCAATTCATTTGGCTCATAAATGGTTAAAGTATGACACCTCGCTAATACATTATCTTCATCTTCGCTTTGAAGAGTATTTTAATGGTACAGAATTACTTATTTTTCTTTTTCATTGCTATCATATCATTACATAAAGTAACTCACGAGAAGCTCGCACTCTGGTTCCATATACATCTTTACATGGCGGCATCTTAAAACGTATAAAAACTCCAAAGACGGCTGTCTGCAAATTTGTGAATACCAAAACAAACTGCAACATCAAAAATTTCAGCTTGATCCTGTGTTTTTCAAGGATTTTCTGAGAGGCGGTAACAAGTATCATAAGGCCGTACAAGGCAAACAGTGTACTGATAGCGGTTAAAAGATTCAGGTATAAAAATGGCGCCATCCATCCCGTCTGAAAATATAAAAAGGACATTCCGACATGAAAACTTTTTGTTGCTATATCAAACCTGAGTTTCATTTCATTTTTATGCTGTTTACCTTTTGATGATTTAAAGAAAATTGAAATGAAGTAAGTAGAATTTAAATTTGTAAGATAAAATAAACAAGAAATTACTAAGTTGTATTTTAACATTGAAGTTGTTTTAGGTGTATATATACTAATGATAAAGACTACCAAATTGTTTTGTTAAAAGTTGAGTAAAGGCAACATCATTTCCTAGTAACTTAACCTAAATCCTTTGAAAATATTATTCCATGCAGCGTTCATCTTTGGTTTAGATCTCCTTTATAATATCCGGTGGGCTACTGACAAGACCCTTTTTAAGTTATTAATCATACTGTACCCGTTGCATATCAATTGAAGACAATTGTAGCAGAGTAAAACAATAAAGAATCAACAACTGTTACCTCATGAACGGTGCTGTGATCATTTGCCCAAATAGCTGCTTTTCCAAACAAAAATATCGGCTGTAGAATTGCCGTCTGCATTATCATTGTCTTTAAACATTTGACTGACCGACTGAAAAAAAACAACAACATTTGCTGTCGTTGGTCATTAAAAGATATACTAAGCCCGTCTTTGGGTAAAATAATTGTATTGCAGAAATTTATTTTAAATCTAGTAAATTCTTGCTGAATATGTCTAATTTGAATAAGCAGTTTTTTTCAATGACAATTTGTATATAGTTTAAAACATAATATATTTTCTCTGTGTGTATTCAAAAAGCTGTTTATTCTACATTTCAAATGATACTTTATAGTAATCTGTTGTTTTTTTTAGCATAATGTATCTTTTAATAGATTAAAAAGATAGACTGATGTTTTCAATCCTCTTCTTTTGTAATTAAATAGGATATAAATAGGATAAAGGTATGCTGTCTCAAGGTCACGGAGCTTTAACATTGATTGTTGGATGCAATTTAAGGTGATGGATAGCTGATCAGACATTAATGGACACAGAGCATGCAAGCTACTCGTCGCATTGCAGTAGCGAAAGTAGTCATAAGTACGCTATTAACAACTAATAAATAAGTCGGTCCGGAAGAAACATAAGACACCTTGAATTATGTGATGCTTTTACAGTTAATATAAGTGTGGCTGGATCGGCGTTGATTTATATGAGAATAATTTTAAAGAAGAGGGAATATAAAGATTCAAACATTATAACAGAATACCACTTTGAAAAGTAAGAACAACAATAGCATGCCCTATGTAATACGATGCATTGTAAAATCCGACCCAGATTGATAATTTCAATCAGCTTTATTTAATGATGTTGAGGGTCGTTAGGTTTACAAATTCCCTTCGAAAACAGAGACAGAGTGGAACCTTAAAGTGCAAAGAAGGAGCACTGGTTATAAAATATCTCGTATGCATGTTCAAAATAATCAGTGTTAACAATTTTGCCCTCGTTGAAATCATGCTAAAAATGATAAAAATATATTTTACAAATTCTCCAGAGAAAACAATATAGTTGTACTTCGATTTTAACAAGATATTTAGGGATTACCTTGTAACCTTCAGTGGTGACAAACAACAACAACAGCAACAACATGGTGGTGTCCGTATTGAGATCTTCTCCGGGTGTAAAGTTTCTATCATAGCTTCTGTATTACCGTAGTATTGTATTAAAATACAGATAAATACATAGATACACAGCGACAGATAGCTGGAAAATAAAAGGGGAACATGATATCAGGAATTGTAAAAAATTGATATCAATTTTTTCTAAGAATATATTTCATGGCGCAATGAAATATTCAATGAAATATTTCTAGTAACGAATAAAGGAAACGGTTCATGGAAGTAGATTGAGGGCAACTAATTAACACATGTCATATTAATCATTTGATGACTTCTTAAATATATGAAAATAATTCATCACTTTCTATATACAAATCCATTTGAACACAAGATTGCAATGCTTTCCGCATAAAGTAAATCACTATACTTATGTACAAATCAAATGATTATATCTTTATTTTAAATTGATCTAGATACACTTATGCAACATTTAGTTTAGTTTTACAGCGAGTGTCCATAAATTTGCGGGACAGCTCTCTTATATATTGTTTTTCAGAAGGTGCAAAGCCATATCTGCAAACAACCTGTTTGTTGTTGTGACCATCCTAATAAAAAAGGCAATATTCATGGTCTAAAGTGAAATAAAAACATGTTTCTTTGAGTGTTTTGTCAGAATCAATGAGAGAATGATATATAGAACTAGATGGTTCATACCAAGTAGCAATTAGATCGGCTAGAACGGTGGTTCTCGGAACCAATAGGGCGAACATTGCCATTGTTGACGTCATCTGAAACGTTTAAAGATTCCATGTATCATAATTCATATTCATAAGAAGCTGTAGCACATATACACACAATGACATTTATCATTACCACAATGAATGTAGTATAAATACGGGCTTAAATATCATTATTTTATTAAAGGCTTTTATTCCTAAGAAACGAATAAATATTTCCTGTTTCATATAGAACAGATACCAGCATTATTACTTTAAAATTTGATAATTGATATTAGAACATGTTAGTTATTAAGAAAGAAAGAATGTGAAATTATTTCTCACAAAAGTAAAAAAAGTGTAAATAAAGTGGTATTTTTACTTCCAAACGGAGTTCTAAATCACTGCTATTGTACTAATTGCTAAAAAGGCACTGAAGCAAAAGATGGTCCAGGTAATTGGCTAATTAGTACATTTTTGGAAACTATAACAGGACACCAAAAAAGTATTTGAGAAATAAAATTAAAGCATTTCTGGGGGCATAATGGGCCTTAATAGTTAACTAGTAATTAATAAGTAGTTTATCCTTTTTTAACCGTAAAGAGTCATGTTACATGGAACATTGTCAAAAATGGAGGCATCAAAACTGCAGAACGAAAATACGACATGGCACAAATCATTCACCATACAGGAGATGAGGGTTTGTAAATACAACTATTCAATCAGCTTATTGTGGGACATTATACAAAATACAATTGGACATAATAGAATATGGTCAAGACATTATATGCGAAATGTATATATGCTTATATTTTCCATAAAATACCATGAACTAATACATATTTTATGTAAAGCTGCCACTCTCAGATCCTGTAAGAATAACTTAAAGATGCTAAATATAGTAACATAAAAGATGCAAATAAATGATTGTAATAATTGCACAATGAACTAATGTTATGAATTAGTAATTGTTACTATAATGCATTGGCCGATAATATAATGAATATATTGCAACATTAAAGCTACATATGTTACTGATAATCGGAAGAACATAAATAATTTATAAATTTACTTGATTTATTGTACATAGGGGACTAGTCTATATCGAGGTGGACATTAACACGTTCATATAAAATGCAAATTGAACAGTCAGTCACTGGGAGGCAAAATATACTTTTGCATACTATATTTGCCGGTAATAAATAATTCATTTTCCGGTAATATTATACACAATATAAGATAATAGACAATCATATATATATATATATATATACGATGGCTAATACACTTATTGTAGAATCTGTAATCTGTTATTTCAGTAGTAGTTTGCTTTTCGGAAAAAGTGCATTTTTGTTGTATCATAGGATTCATATGATTAATTATTACTTAAAGCCAAGTAAAGTAAAAGATAGCAGAAAAGTTACATTAAAAGCGCATTGTCCTACGACTAGAACCCATACAATAATATTCAAATATCGTTAAAAAAACCAACAACAACAAAAAACAACATCTTTAAACAGATTGAAATGTGACAGACAAATCACACTTATTTTTTTGATGGATTGCAACATGGACTGTATCGAAAATGTTTGTCTATGTCTGTGTATGTGTGAAATATCTTGTTTGTTAATATATGTATTTCTTTGTTGTTTATATGTCTATTTGTCTGTATTTATAATATGTTTACAATTTTGAATATACGTATACATTTTTGTACATATGTTGGTATTGAAAAGAGATATCTCTTTTTAATGCAATGTATGAACTTTAGTGTCCAAAAATCGCCATCAAGAATTTTACGTACTTTGATTACGAGTGTACACATGCATGTCATAGATGTAATTGTTACTTTACCTACCGGATATATACCGAGGAGTATCAAAACTTTCAGGCGTTTCCCAGGGTCTTTATAGCGATAATGTTTACTGCACACCTCTGTGATGTACACAAATATTGTTATAAGTGACAGTAGAGTGCATCCACATAACAGCCCAGCCTCAAGTGGTCGCTTTAGCATTCCTGTAAAGAAAATAACAAAATCAATCAATCAATCAATCAATCAATCAATCAATCAATCAATCAATCAATCAATCAATCAATCAATCTCTAATATACATCAATCTAACTTGTTCTGTTTGTCACACGAACATGTCCTGCCTAAGGGGGGTAGGAGATGTCCCTTGACTTTGATACACAAAGAAGTACTTCTTGGGAGCTTTAATATGAATTGCAAGAATATTGTAAATATTCGAATAGAAAAATATTGCATTTGTTGTGGATTTACTTAACCAATCATTTTCTCGGCCATTTTCCTTTCTATAATAGTTTTATTTAAAGCCAATCAGACAATTGGATAAGCTATAAATAATTTACTGGAAATAAATTAGTTTTGCATCACAGACTCATTGCTCGGTTTAATCCGTTCTTTGATGTATAACCTAATGTGCAATCATCCATCTACCTAGTAAATAATTGAAATACAGCATCGTCTTGTTATTACTTTTGTGTGCCAACATGCCGTTCATGGTTGTTAGGCCAAAGAAATTGGGTTCTGAAACATTTCTCATAGCTTGGTACATGTATACACATTTGATTATGTAAAAAAATATTTTTGCAATACATTTGGCGGTACGGCATGCTTATAGTCTTTAGTTCAAAGGTGTTTGGTTATGTTTCCATGTTTGAAGACTTGTATACTTTATCTAAATCAATAAAGATTTAAAATAAAAATAACTTTGGTAGACAATCATCGCAATTGCTGTTAGGCTAAAACGTTTTTGCTCATGATTTCGAACAGTGTGTAATACTATATCAATAAATTGTACGGATTTATAGCAAATTCATAACCAATGGGCAAAGTAGGACCCGAAACCAGACATAACAAACAGTTCTGTAAATCTGAGGTTCTGATTTTTTTTAATAATTGATTAGGCTATTATTGATAAATGTATACCAAAATAGATAGATAAATGCAAAACAAAATTAATAAACTACAAAATTCTTTTTAGATGCAACCTTCTTTTAAGATTCATTATAAAATGTGATTCAAATAAAAGAGTTCCCTTTTCTTCAATATAGATTCAATACAGTACAGTACAGTACAGTAAGTACAGTACAGTACAGTACAGCACAGCACAGCACAGCACAGCACAGCACACAGCACAGCACAGCACAACACAGCACAGCACAGCACAGCACAGCACAGCACAGTACAGTACAGTACAGTACAGTACAGTACACTTTATTCAGCTTTAAACTAACAAAGTTTGTAGCAGTAAATATAAATTATGAATGCCTTAACTTTACATGAAAACAAAGAGGCTCACCTTCGTAATATTCCGGGGCTTTAGGATACGTTTCGGAACACTCATTCCCATGTTTCCCTGTAAAGTTTTCATAGCCCTCTGTTATGTTGACCACAACCGAATAAGGTGGCACATCCTCCATCCCCATCAGCTTAATATCCAAGTCCTGAAACATATATAGGCAAACGTTTCAGTGATAGGTTTTAGTCTTTACTTTTCCGAGTTTTAAAACGTGTCCCTGATGGGTTTTAGCTTTTACTTTTCATGTTAACAGTTATTTCGAAAAACTCATTGGAAATTAAAGAAAGAATTTTCTTTAAACTTTGAACCAAAAGTAAAGTTTTGGTCCAAGTGTACATGAATCGATTGACGTTCCACTTATTTTAGAAACACTGAAGTTACCGCTGAAATCCTTTGAATATAAGTATATCAATTATTTGTCCTACATTATAACATTTATCATTTCATCATAATCGTTTTAAATCAAGATCTGTTATGGTGATATAAAAAGATCATAATGACTGCTAAGTATATGACGTCAGCTTTTAGGACCCCCCCCCCCCCGAATAAAAAACAACAAAAAAAAAAAAAAACAACAAAAAAAAAGAAAAAATAACAACAAAAAAGCAACAACAAAAAAGAAACAAACACACAGAAACACCACCACCAACAAACACACACACACACACACACACACACCCACACACACACACACACACACACACACACACACACACACACACACACACACACACACACACACACACACACACACACACACACACACACACACAATAAAACTATATACAGATGTTCTACCGGGCGTATATTCCAGTTAGATCAAAATTCTTGCCATGCATACATACATGTATATTATGTCCGTAGTGCATATAAGTGATATCAAATCCGCACGTACTTATTAAACACCTGTTATTCTAAACCGATACTAGATTCACAGATCTATACAGTTATCTGATAAAACTAAGCAACTACCAACCTTTCAAAATGATACATCCGTGAAAATATATTAGAACGTACGTGTATAAAAAATACACACACACACACACGAACAAACAACAGAATTCTCAGTGACTATACTCATGTATCTTCTATATAATACATGTACATTTAGTTTGCGAGAGCAACAAGTTCAATACCCTTTCAATATAGCTTCACATCTACCTGTTTATAAAAGCTTGTCGTACAAAATTGATGATCTCGCTCTATTCTGAGACGGTCTAAATTGTAAACGAATCGATCACCATTGCCACATGATTAGACATCAAATATTCGGAAAAATGCTCCTATCGATAAAAGTAGAACTAATCTGAGCAGGAGCAATCGAATATAGGTTACCAGTCTCTGTAAATGCCTATTGTTATTTTATGGAATTTAAGTTTTTACTTTGAGATCATAGATCTATCTTTGAGATCTATTTCTTTACGGAGTGATATTCAATATTGATTATTGTTTACGTTTCAGTGTACATGTAGTGACTTTAGAAGAACTGTGTTTAAATGTAAACATTTCCCTTCATGTGTATCGTTTTGAGATGAATATAGTATTTCATATATTTGTTCATATCTTAAAGGCACATCTTAATAAATATTATGCCTCAGAATCAAATAAATCTAAATACGTCCTTAAAAAGGGCAAACATTAGTTTTTGTGACATTTAGATAATGGTATTAGAGCATGTTAGATGTTTGTTACCTAAACATTAACACTTATTGTGTAATAATTTATCATTAAGGTGACAACAGACACTTTCCGTGGTACTCACATAAATGTCATTTAAACCAACTTATTTTAGTAATAATTGTTATTTATTTAATCTTTGTGCATAAAATGTCGTTGATTATCATAAAAAATAACATATTTGAAAAAAAATGCCTTTGTAAATGATTGATTTTTAATAAAAATCCTAAAATTTTAAATCGTCATATCAAAGTCATTTTTTACTTTTTTGTCATCAAACTTTTGGAAAATAAACATACTTATAATCTCTGGGGAACCGTGTCTCAAATTTTTTCTATCTTTTCTCAAAAAAATATTACGTAACGTCAAACATTTTATGCGACTTTTTTCACCATACATATTACGTAATTAAAGATAATTAAGCCGCTGGTTGAGCAAACAAAAATCCCTGACACGGTTCCCTCCGTAAATGTATTTCCTTTCATGTGCTTTAAACCGCATGTTAATTGCTTGATTATTAAAAAAGTTATGCCGATTCAAAGTTAGTCCGACCCGCATCAAACGAAGTGTCATAAATCGGCTGTTCTCTCTCGGACACCTACGTTTCACGCTAAATAATTGCATAATACACAAATATCGCACCATAGAGGGTCACAAGTTGCGGTAACATACTCTAACAACATTTTATGACCCAGTGACATCTGACCAATTAAAAAGTTGCTAATTAATATCAGTTTATTACAGAAATTTCTTCAAATCATAATGTGATTTACCGTCCGTCTGGTATCGGTCGCACATGTCACGTGACTTTCGGTAAAATTTGAGGCTCTCGGTGGGGGGAAATGGAACTTATTTGCGCACTGCTAGCGGGGTATTTAATTGTTTCACTTTTAAAGTTTATTATTATTATCATCAGCATTATTATTATATTATACTAGTGTCACTCTGTGCATTCGTTTATGAAATTCCGTTAACATATAAATTAAAATAACAAAAAAACTGAGCTTCTGACGGTCTTTTAAAGTCCATGGTAGATGTACAAATAAGAACGGGATATTATATATTTTTTTCCTTCAAATTGATATAAATGCTTAACATATTTTAATAGAAATAAAAGGTATCACTCGATCATTATGACCTTCTTTACTTCTTTTATCATGAATATCATCTATGCATCTCAGCACGGCATAGAGATCCAGTTTCAATTGGGATATACAATAAATTCCATACTTTGTCCCAGGTTTATTAGTACTGTGTTCGATTTACTGGCGTACAATTTATTCAAACCATTCACTGATAATATATTTTATTATCTTTTTTTATTGATTCATAGAGAAATAATCATCCTTAGACAACCTAAAGTGGTTTAGAAATTTGTCAGGGACACCTTACCACAAGTCATATAGGCGTTCACATTAAAAATGTTGTCTGTTTTTGTTGTTGTTTTACTTGACATTGTTAGAAAACAAGAAGAAGGTTAAATGTAAAAAAAACCCCTTTGGAAATCCGTACAAAGCCCTAAATTTAAATGTAAATTTCTTCAGATTAACGGGAAACAAAACAAATTTTCCCCCCAACCCACAGAACTAAAAAATTTTTTAAACCCCAACCCGTGGTCTTTGCGTTTTCCCCGTATGTTTAATTTCTTTTATGTTTCAAAATTTGGGTTTTTACGTACATTGGCCGCCCAATTTCTTTTTTTTAAAAAGGTTTTAAAAAAAAAGGTAGAGGATATTGGGTTTTTTTACGAAAACCATGTTGAGAAATAGGGACCAGTATGGAGGGAAATTTCACGCTATTTTGGAACTCCCGTTTTCCCCCTCATTGATCCCTAAAAAGGGGCGGAGCTTTTATGGGAAAATTGACAGGTTAGCAAAATTAGAAAGATAAAAAGGGTACAGGTACCGTTTTAAAACGTTTAAAAACACATTTTTGGACTAACTGCTTCCAAAATTAAATCACGAATGTGTTCAGAAAAGGTGGATAAATCTACTAAGCAAAAAATCTCATTTTAGGTATTTTCAGTGATAATTGACTCCGTTGTCACCTTAAAGTAACAAAATGTCAACTAAGTAGTATTTTGACCTCAATACTAATTCACTATAGATGAACTAATTGCCAAAAAAGCAACATAAGAAAAAGATGGTTAATGTTATTGCTCAATCAGTATCTTTTTTTGAATCAATAAATGAGCCGCGTCATGACAAAACCAACATAGTGTGTTTGCGACCAGCATGGATCCAGACCAGCCTGCGCATCCGCGCAGGCTGATCAGGATCCATGCTGTTCGCTATCGGTTTCTCTACTTGCAAATAGGGTTTGTAAGCGAACAGCATGGATCCTGATCAGACTGCGCAGATGCTCAGACTGGTCTGGATTCATGCTGGTCGCAAACGCACTATGTTGGTTTGTCGTGACATGGCTCAAATGTATACAAAAAATAATAAGCTTTTAAGAAATAAAAATAAAACATTTCTGGTACATTCAGTCACTTCGTTTACATCTTGTTACTTTTTTTGTCAAAAAATTTCACTCTTCGTGCGATAAGTATCAAATTGCAAACAAATAAATCTTAATGAAAGTTTATAAAATAACAATAATTGAACGTATGTCCGAAAAATAATGTTTTAAAGAGATATTTTAATAACAATGTCATCATTTGATTTGGGGACAAGAAAATAAATTAATAGATAAATAAATAAAAATAATAAATAAATAAATAAAGATAAATAAATAAATATATAAATGAAAAATAAAGTTGAATGAATAAATAAACAAATAAATAAATAAAAATGAATAAATAAATAAATAAATAAAAGATTAAATAAATAGATTAGATAAATGAAATAAATCTTTTTAACAGGTATGGTCTAAAGACATGATAGAATGTTGCCATTTTTTGTTGTTGTTTTTTTTATCCGTCGAGTCCATGTTAATGTTAAAACAATACTACATGTACATGTGTGATAAACATAATCATAAAAAAATGTACAAATCAAAATACCTTACCTTGAACGTTCATTAAAAGAGAAATAGCCCTTACACAGCAAAACTAAGCGACAGGTTAAAGTAAAAATCCATTGTTTAAGTATTTTCTTTTAAAATGTATCAACGATGGTTAATGTAAAAGCAGGTTAAATCTCATCTGTTATAAACATATAGCTTGAGGCTAAACCATTTTTTTCATATACACTAATAAGATGTAGTATTATCCTATTTATATTTATATACCACTTACATTAAGTAGAAAGTGATTAAATGTAACAAAAAAACCCCTGTTATTTATATGTGTATGTCTTGTTTTTACCCTTACCAGTTGCATTTGTTTGATAAAATTTTTCATTTTGACTTAATATTGAACAGCCTTTTCATACTTCGGGAAACTGAACTGAAATTTTCTGCCTTTTCCGTCAAGGACCTCAAAACATAGAACGGATACGGTATTTTGGTCTAACATAATAACAAAAAAAAATAAAATTCTCGAAATTGGCTATATTTTCTGTTAGACGATAATTAATATTGAATATACATTCTTATTTATTTTACAAAGAATACGCACCCTT